CCGCTCACTACGTCTCCTGAAGACTAATGGCGGTTGCTTCACAACAGCAGGGCCCATTTCAGCTGGGGGGGGGGAGCAGTGCATTGACCCCCCCCACCCCCTTTCCCGTATCTGGCTTGAAAATACAAATGTGCTCGTCTTTACCACATGGACACGACAGGCATCTTGCCTTATTGCGCAAAAAACCTACATCCAGCCCAGCAGGGGGCGCTGTGTGAAAGTGGACCAGGCCTGGCACGAGCTCACAGTGTCACCAAGCAGCCTCAGAGGCTGTCGAACCTGTGCGTTTGTGTGTGTTTCTGTAAGTCAGGCAGGTTGACAGCAGAGTGCTTTAAATGCTGGTCTACCGATCCTCTCCTCTCATAATAATCCAGTCTAGACACACCAACACATCTCTAGTGGGCCTCCAAGAGTAATTCAGACTGAGTGTTAAAAGTAATCTCTGCGAATAATGATGAAACAGTCAGAGGAGATTGAATCCGTGTTACAAGTAGCACAGAACCCTTGGATCAAGCGGCCCTGTGAACAGCCTGAAGTTCTTCGCTTGTTTTTTTTTCTCCTTTCGTTTGAAATGCCGTATCGTATATATGGAAATAATCCACAGGCGCCATTAGGTAGCCAAGGCTGCCGAGGTGAGGCGGCGGACAGGGGCGGCAGGGCGGACGTACGTGGGTGCCGTTGATGCTCCAATGGACGCTGGGCCTGGGCGCGCCCTCCGCCTCGCAGATCAGCACCTTGTGCCGGCCATCTCCTCCACGCATCTTAAGCAGCCGATTAATCACTGGTTTTCCTGGAAGAGCCAACACCCGTCAGCACCACGCGTGTCGGTTACATGCTTGCGTGTATATCTATGCGTAGCAGTCACGACATTTTCGGCTCGACAGCACAAACAATGGAATACATTCCTTGACGCCGGTGAAACTTTTCACAAGAAGATGCTAGTAGGGACTGTGAGTTGGTCATGGCGAAGGCTGCTTACGATCAATCACAATTGGCAGTTTGGGAAAATTTTGGCTTCCTGATAAATTACGCCAACACTGGAGATGAAGTACTCAACACTGCTCTTATGCTGAACTCGGATACGTTGCTGGATCCATATCCAAAATGCTAACTCATTTCAGGCGACATCATCCGAGCGTGAAATTCACACCGAGCTAAAAAAATACCAAGCCTCCGGCTATAGGGATGTTTATCACTATAGATATGCGACTATGCTCAGTATTAGATTGTTATGATGCAGTTGTTTTTCGTAATTTTCATCTATTTTATATATTTATATTTACCAAGTGCAAATGAGTATCCCCTAGATTTTGTTATCCAGACATGTGGACAGACACACTGGCTTTGGTTTACAGCTTTCCCTAATTATGCTTCTGTATGTAGTTTTTATAATCATTTCAAAACAAATTCTGTTTCCCCTGCTGTACTGAAATTGCAGCGAACCATGAACCTAAAACTGAGGTTTGAATTGAATTTTGTTTGCTATTACATATATATATATATATATATAT